CCAGTACGGCGTTGTAGCACACCAGCCTTGCCCAAATGATGGCGGATTTTTATAGTGGCCACCCTTTGGGGAAGGCTGGAAACGTGTCACAACAGAGGCGCTTTTTTTTAAATTTTATTTTGTTTCTTTTAAATTCTCAATTAATTTAAATTTTTTTTTTTAATTTTTCAGCTAAAATGCATTTGTAGTTAGAATTATAGGGTGGGGGGGGGGGGGGGATGATTAAATCTTTAGAGAAAAAAATCCAATAATCAGGTTTTATAATATGTGTGTGTGTGTGTGCACTTGAAGTCTGGGAGCGCCATCGGCATACGGCCGTTGTAAATCCTCCCAGAATTAGCTAAAGTTAGTTAGTGTTAGTTAACAAAGAAATCAAAGTTGCAACCACATATGTTCTACTGCATTCTCACTAGATGGCCGAAACATTTCATTCTTTGTCTGCAGTTTAATCCAGCAACGAAATTCACAATAATTTTTAAATCACCATGCATATGTCTGTCTGTCTGTCTGTCTGTATGTATGTATGTATGTATGTATGTATGTATGTATGTATGTATGTATGTATGTATGTATGTATGTATGTATGTATGTATGTATGTATGTATGTATGTATGTATGTATGTATGTATGTATGTATGTATGTATGTATGTATGTATGTATGTATGTATGTATGTATGTATGTATGTATGAATGTACGTGTGCATGCGTGCGTGTGTGTAGGTATGTGTATAATGTAGATATGTGCTTGTATGTATGTGTGTATGCATGTATGTATGTCTGTGTGTGTGGGTATGTATATGTATGTGTTTGTGTGTGTGTTCACGTTTGTATGTTTATATGTGTGAGTATGTGTATGTATGTATATATGTGTGAGTATGTGAATGTAATTATATATGTGTGAGTATATGTATGTATTAATATATATGTGAGTATGTGAATGTATGTATGTATGTATATGTGAGTATGTGTATGTATATATATGTTAGTATGTGTATGTATATATATGTTAGTATGTGTATGTATATATATGTGAGTATGTGTATGTATGTACGTATATATATGTAAGCGTGTGCATGTATGTATGAGTATGTGCATGTATGTATCGTCATCATCATCTTCGTTATCATCATCATCATCATCGTCGTCGTAATCATCATCATCGTCATTATCATCATCATCATCGTCATCATCATTGTCATCATCATCGTCGTCGCCATCATCATCATCATCGTCATCATCGTCGTCGTCATCATCGTCTTCGTCATCGGCGTCATCATCATCACCGTCTATGTCATCATCATCATCGTCGTCGTTATCATCATCATCGTCGTTATCATCATCATCATCGTCGTTATCATCATCATCGTCGTCATCATCATGGCCATCGTTATCATGGCCACAGTAAACCTAGAAATAGGCCTGACTTCTTCCTTCGAAGTCGGAGTACAGCTGCCCATGAGGCTGGGAACATTAAAACGGTTGTACACGCAAAAATCAGGTCCGGGTGAAAGCCAAAAGTCCAAGCCGACGATTAACCGTGACCTTCCGCCGGAATTCACAGCCGGTGAACGGAAAAAAAAAATGTCGTTATCATCATCATCGTCGTTATCATCATCATCATCGTCATCATCGTCGTCATCATCATCATCGTCGTCATCACCATCATTGTCATCGTCATCATTGTCATCGTCATTATCGTCGTCATCATCATCATCATCATCGTCGTTACTATCATCATCGTCGTTGTCATTATCATCATCATCGTCGTTATCATCATCATCGTCGTTATCATCATCACCATCGTCGTCGTCATCATCATTGTCATCATCATCGTCGTCGCCATCATCATCATCGTCGTCGTTGTCATCATCGTCGTCATCTTCACCTTCATCTTCACCTTCATCGTCGCCGTCATCATCATCATCATCGTCGTCATCATCATCTTCGTAGTCGTCATCATCATAATCGTTTTCGTCATCATCATCGTCGTCGTCATCATTATCGTCATCTTTGTCATCATCATTCATCATCGTCATCATCATTATTATCATCATCGTCGTCATTATCATCATCATCCTCATCATCGATGTCTTCATCAGCATCGTCATTATCATCATCGTCGTCGTCAGCATCATCATCTTGGTTGTCATCGTCGCCGCTATCATCATCATCGTCATTTTCATCATTATTATCGTCATCCTCGTCATAATCCTAGTCATTACCATCATCGTCATCATTATCATCGTCGTCACCATCATCACCATCGTCATCATCATCATTATCATCATCATCGTCTTCATCATTATCATCATCATTATCGTCGTCGTCGTCAGCATCATCATCATCATCGACGTCATCTTCATGTTTCGCCTTCCCACAAGATGACTAGAACAATGGTTAGGTCAGAGTTCTTTTGTTGCCCTAAGCATATGGCCAAGCTATCCATTGATTAATGTCTTTGTTTTCCCAGTGGCTGCTGGTTATCACCAGGTTCTTGAGTTTGTTTCTTCTCAGAACATCTTTCGAAAATATCAACTGCCTGTCTTGTCTCTCACTTGTGCGCGTTTGGATACTTTTGTAGAACATGCGCCCTTGCACGTCGGTCTCTCTGTCGCTTGGGCGCTTATAGTTTTTTTTTTAATGTATGCACTTGCATAACTAATTATCTTTATATTAATCTGTTTAAACGTCTTTCTGTCTACCTGCCTGTCTTTTTGCCTTTCTGCGTGACCGCCTGTCTGTTAATGCATTTGCCTGTCCGTATGTTAAGTCTGAGTGCTTGTCTGTCTGTCTGTCTGTCTGTCTGTCTGTCTGTCTGTCTGTCTGTCTGTCTGTCTGTCTGTCTGTCTGTCTGTCTGTCTGTCTGTCTGTCTGTCTGTCTGTCTGTCTGTCTGTCTGTCTGTCTGTCTGTCTGTCTGTCTGTCTGTCTGTCTGTCTGTGTGTGTGTGATTTCACGTTTGTATGTTTATATGTGTGAGTATGTGTATGTATATTTATATATATGTGAGTATGTGTATGTATGTATGTATGTATGTATGTATGTATGTATGTATGTATGTATGTATGTATGTATGTATGTATGTATGTATGTATGTATGTATGTATGTATGTATGTATGTATGTATGTATATATGAGTATATGTATGTATATATATGTGAGTATGTGTATGTATGTATGTATATGTGAGTATGTGTATGTATGCATATATATGTGAGCGTGTGCATGTGTGTGAGTGTGTTCACGTATGTATGTTTATATGTGCATGTATGTATGTTTGTATGTGTGAGTTTGTGCGTGTATGTATGTTTGTATGTGTGAGTATGTGCATGTATGTATGTTTGTATGTATGAGTGTGTGCATGTGTGTGTGAGTGTGTTCACGTATGTATGTTTATATGTGTGAGTATGTGCATGTATGTATGTTTCTGTGTGTGAGTATGTGCATGTATGTATGTTTATATGTGTGAGTATGTGCATGTATGTATGTTTGTATGTGTGAGTATGTGTATGTATGTTTATATGTGCATGTATGTATGTTTGTATGTATGTGTGAGTATGTGCATGTTTGTATGTGTGAGTTTGTGCATGTATGTATGCTTATATGTGTGAGTATGTGCATGTATGTATGTTTGTATGTATATGTGAGTATGTGCATGTATGTATGTTTGTATGTGTGAGAATGTGCATGTATGTGTGCATGTATTCGGAAGCATAACCGACTTGCGCGAGACTGATTACATCATAATTACCTTCGATTGGTGTGTAAACTAGTTGCAAAATATGTCCTTTGGGTATAAATAGGATCTGTTATTATCGCTATTCTTCCCCCACCCCTCCCCCTCTCTCTCTCTCCGCCTGTCCTATAACTGTCCGACTCATCTTTATCTCTGTGCGTTCTCTCCGTCTCTCCCTCTTACCGCTACCTCTGTCTTCTCCTATCCTTCTTCCCTTTGTCTTCACACACTCTCGACGTCTTCCCCCTGTCTCTCTCTCATTCATGTATCTCCATCTTCTCTCTAACCCTCCGTCTCAGCCCTTTCCTCCTCACCCTCACCCTCACTTCCCAGACCCACTGCTGACTTATTTGTTTGTCTGTCTCCCAATCCCCTCTGTATGATGCACAACTGCTGAATGTCCCATCGGCCATAAAGGAGATCTTGGCATTTGTTTATTTACACACAACAGGTCCCCCCGCTGCACGAACTCGCCTTCCGGCTGAGGCCCTAATGCAGTGTTTACTGTAGATTGTCGGCTTTCTTTCATCCTGTTCTGCCGTGTTACCTGCTGCATTTGTGAATCAAATTGTTTTTTGAGCACTTCTGCTAATTTACCTTGATTCTTCAAGGTTTCTCCTCCTTTGTCTTCTCATCCTCACCCTTTTCCCAGTTCCATCTGTTCTTTATCTTCTTCTCTTCCTTCTTGTTTATCCTCCTCCTCTTCTTCTTCACTTTATTCGTCTTCTACTTCCTATTCTTCCTTATTAATATTCTTCTACTTCCTCCTCCTCCTATTCTTATTCTTCTTTTTCTTTTTCTACTCTCTCCTCTCCTTCGTCTTCCTATTCTTTTTCCTCCTATTGCTCTTCTTTTTCGTGTTTTTCTCCCTGCCTCCTCTTCTTCGTCTTCCTCCTGCACCACTTCTTATTCTTTTCTACTTCTTTCCCCTCGTCTCCTCAATCTAAACTACTCTACTTTTTTAACCGCTTAATGCGACTTCACCCTTATCCTTCTCTTCCCCTATTTTCTTCTCCCAGTGGAGCATAAGCAACCCACTTCAGACCCTTTTGTATGAATATCCACTCGTGCTTGGTTGACTCTTACAGCTAGTTATCTATCTAGTTGGCTACTGCGGCCGTAAATCCCCAGGCTCAAAGAACACCCCCCCCCCCCCCCCACCGCCTAAACCGCAAAAGTAGTAAAATAAAGGCAGTAATTTACAGTTTTGTGTACATCAATTGTATTGTCTTAATAACAGGCTGTTTTTATCTTATTTCTCACAGTTATCCTGCCGCGCCTGACTGCCATAGCAACGGCCAACAACCACTCGACAAACGAGACCCGGCGGAGGGATATCGCCATGCAGCTGTTTGAGGCCTACAGCGCACTATCCTGTGGTTGTATCCTTTTCAACAAAACTCTTTCTGGAGAGGTGAATTAATCAAGTAACAGAAAGTATTGTGAACGGCACTCATAGAAAGAAGTAGAAAGATAGAAGAACACACTAGACAACATAAAAATCGAAAGCTATAGTTACCGTGCCGGATTGACATGTCTCCCAGTCTCTACCTGTATGTCATGTTCTGTCTGGCTCACTCATTCACTCTCTTTCTCTTTTTCTTCCGCTTCTCGACTTTAATCGTGTTTCAGAACTTGAGTTTTGAATGCACATCCATTTTCCAGATCTGGCTTTGTTGTACGCAGACTGTTGGTTCCTTGCCTATGAGGCAGATGCACCCCGACTTAAAAGGAAAACTCCATAATTAGTTGTCTTGGTGGTGGTGGAGTGGGTTGGGGTGGGGCAATGATTTTTCTTTCTCTGCCCCAATTGGGTCCCGGGATCAACATATAAAACGTCGACTAAACGGACGCTAATTAACGGCGACGATCCATTAAATGGCACCAGCACCGAGAACGAATCTACATGACAGAATCATTCATGTGAAGCTTAGCCGGGGCGCTGAACACACTTTAGGGAATCAATCAATAGTCCTTGACAACACTCTGTTGGTGGGTTGTAGTTAGCACATTCAGGGAACCTATAAACAGCAGGGGAACTGCAATCTATGGGTTTAGGGCATTATAACAACCCCCCCCCCCCACACACACACACACACACACACACACACAACACTACCATACTTGTCACAAAATCGGCTATTCAACAAACCATCTACTACGCAAAACGCAGTCAACCACTCATCACGACACTCGCCGCACAAGCAACCACTCAACACGTAATCAACACAGTCAATCACTCCTCACACAGTCAGCCACTCCACACAGTCAACCACTCATCACACAGTTAAGAAATTGTGACACGGTCAACCACTCATCACACAGGCAACAACTCCTCACACAGTCAACCACTCATCAGGACACTCGCCGCACAAGCAACCACTCAACACGTAATCAACACAGTCAACCACTCCTCACACAGTCAACCACTCGCCTCAATCATTCACTCAACACACACTAATAAAGAACAATCGTGTCTTGTGAAATTATTATTGATTGAATCTAACCAGACATCTGACAAGCGAGATTTCCCTTTCTGTATGATTACGCCTCTTAGTTCAATTTCTATTCGCAGCGACAAATAGACCCAGACTCGATTTACGGCCCCTGGCTAGCAGATGCATTTAGAAATGGTAGCTTTGTGTCTGTTTATTGATTTCATGTAGCCGTTAGGGCAGGGCTGAGATACTTCCAGGGGAATTCGACCTTGCCTATTCAGTAAGGTGCCATCGCCACAGTGAAGGTTGACTTCAAACGATCTTCAACACTCTCTGGGTCTGCATGTACAGTCCTAACATTTGAATCTGGGGCCCAATTGTGAGGACAACAAGAATAGACTCACTGCGGCCCCCCTCCCCCTCCCAACAAGCTTGTCGTAAGAGTCGACTAACCGGGGGAAGGTGAAAAGGGGGGGGGGGGGCTTTCTTTGAAGTCGAAGTGCATCTGCCTGAGATATAAAGAAATAACTATTTGCATACAAATAAGCCAGATCTGTAAAACAGATGTGCACACAACACTCGGGTTCTGGAACAAGACTAAAGTCCAGAGGTGAACAAACAACCAGAACTCTCCGCCGGGGTTTACAGCTGGTGAACACGAACAAGAAGAGAAACAGAAGATTAGAAAATGAAGTTGGTTCGATCTGTAACCCTGATTGTATACTTTATCATACTGCAGCTGGTCCGTCTATTGGTATTATCATCTCACTTGTACAGCGGTCAACCCTTTGCTCAACTTTACTGTCCTGTGTGCATTTTCACAAGCAGGTTAGATCTTTTAAGTGTCGTCGAAATAATTCACACGATCCGTGTTTATTTCCGTTGTCAGCTCTTAAAATAATGAACGTTCAGAAGAAGAAGGCATTCTTATGATCATTACGGCATTACCGATTCTTCTTTTTCTTAAAGTCCATGCCGTGTGGCGTTGGTAGTCATATCTATCCACAACCTTCTGTCTCGTTTGGTTTTAATTATTTCTGACACAGATGATCTTCCATAGTCCATGCCGTGTAGCGTTGGAAGTCATGTCTCTTCCACAACCTACTGTCTAGTGTAGTTTCAGTCATTTCTGACACAGATGATCTTCCATAGTACATGCCGTGTAGCGTTGGAAGTCATGTCTATCCACAACGTTCTGTCTCGTGTTCTGTCAGTCATCTCTGACACAGATGATCCTCCATGCCATGATGTCAGATTGTCCAGCATCTTTTCTCTCCGTTTCCCTCTGCCTCGTCCCCCCCCCCCCGCCCAAATAATCTTTCCTACTGTCACGATGTACTCCAGTTTTCTCCTTCTCATGACATGACCAAAGAATGTAGATTGTCTCTTTCTGATGTGGGCATTCAGTTCTCTTCGTGAGTCAGTTCCTTTCAAGACATATTCATTACTGTTTTTATCTGTCCAGGGTATTCTCATCAATCGTCTACAACATCACATCTCCGCAGCTTCAATATACATTTTCACTAATTTTCCAAATGTGATTGATTCAGTTCTATATATCAAGATGTACACAGCTTTGAAGAATTCTCTCACTCGTCTCAGTGGACAGAGAAAGATTGCATAAAATATTCTTCATTCTGGGAAGTGCTGCCTCTGCCATTACCGATGGCTTCAGTTTAATGTTCAAAGTTTAACACATTATTCCATAGATGTTCTAGTTCTGTACGAATGTTCTCTTGCTTTGTGTATTCTTTTGTGTCATATCGGCTGCACACCTATCTTTGTATAGGCACTGGAACCTGGGAGCCTCCGACCCCCCCCCCCCCCACCCCCTCCCCCTTTTTTTTTTAAATCACCGACAATCGTTCCGGGGATGTTTTCTTGGACGTCATCGTTTCTTCGTCCACATATGTGTCCCATCGCATTGCCTGTTTTGTTCGCTGGTTCTCTGGTGTGTCCTCATGACGCCACAAGTAAAGGATAATGCCTGAACTGTCACACACAGAATGGGCCGGCGATAAACATGACTGCCTTTTAGATCTGATCCCTATCCGTGTACATTTGGGTGGACATTCAGGTACAATCTGGAGCAGACAAACGTTAAAAAGTTTACTAATAGAGAGCACAGGGACCTTTTCCCGCGATTTCAGGCGTATTTGGCATATAAGACATTGTGGAGGATGAATGAAGGCTTTAGCGCAATAAAATATCTGAAACATCCACGGTGCAACACCAAACAATGAGAAACATCCACAGTGCAACACCAAACAATGACAGCAAACTATGTTTAACAAACAAAGAGGACGAATGAAGGCCTTAGCGCAATAAAATATCTGAAACATCCACAGTGCAACACCAAACAATGACAGCAAACTATGTTTAACCAACAAAGAGGACGAATGGAGGCTTTAGCGCAATAAAATATCTGAAACATCCACAGTGCAACACCAAACAATGACAGCAAACTATGTTTAACCAACAAAGAGGACGAATGGAGGCTTTAGCGCAATAAAATATCTGAAACATCCACAGTGCAACACCAAACAATGACAGCAAACTATGTTTAACCAACAAAGAGGACGAATGGAGGCTTTAGCGCAATAAAATATCTGAAACATCCACAGTGCAACACCAAACAATGACAGCAAACTATGTTTAACCAACAAAGAGGACGAATGGAGGCTTTAGCGCAATAAAATATCTGAAACATCCACAGTGCAACACCAAACAATGACAGCAAACTATGTTTAACCAACAAAGAGGACGACCCAGAAACGGAAGTGGATCAACCTGAAAACATAAGAGAAGCAAAACTGACAACGCAAGGCGAGTCCCTTGGTACTGAAGGAATTTATTTCATTCATGTGTGACTCCACTGATCTCAGGAACGAAGAATCGTCAGCTGCCCGATTATCACAGATTTAAGGCAGTTAAACCACGCCCAAACTTCCACAAAATCCTTCTTCTTCTTCTTGTTCTTCGCTTTCACCAGCTGTAAACTCTGGTAGACAATTCTGGTTGTTTATCCACCTCTGGAATTTAGACTGGTTCCAACCGGAGTGTTGCGTGCACATCAATTTTACAGAGCTGACTTATTTGTGTGCAGACTGTTGGTTCCTTGCCTCTCAGGCAGATGCACTCTGACTTCGAAGGAAGCTTCCAAAAATGTTACTGCCTAAAAGAAGCAATTTCCCCATGAATTAGCGGCAAAACCGTTAATTGTAGGAGGTTTTCATCGTCCAGATACCTCGGAGTACTAAAGTGAATCTTATCAGAACTTTTTTTTTGGGGGGGGGGGGGGGGGGGCATTACTATGCTATCAATGCCAAACGTGGAAACTTGCATCCTCAAGTGAACGTAAAATTGTAACAACAGAGATGAAATGCCTTAGAAGAGCTGCAGGAGTTTCAAGGAAAGACAGAATACGAAATCACGAAATCAGACGAACGCTAGGAATAAAGCCAGTCTTACATTTCATCAAAGAACAACAAATGAAATGGTTTGGACACCTAACAAGAATTCCCTGGTATTATCTGCCACAGCGAGCCACACTAAAACGTTACAACGGGTATAGAGCGAGTGGAAGACTTCGGAAAATATGGAGTGATGGCATTTAGAACAGCCTTACAGAAATGAACATCAGTCTTAATAGTGCTATTGACAGAGCTCATCAATGAATGTTACACCCCACCCCGACACTTCGATGAGGTACAAGGTGGAAGAGAAGAAGAAGATTGGACTGGTCCAGTCTACAACAAGACTTGTAGCGGGATTTCCTCGTCTGTTGTGTTGATCCCATATTTAATCTTCGTCCGAAAGGAAAAACCCCAGGCTATGGTCGTGATTACTGTCCTTTAGACAGTTTATTGATCAGGATTTCTTTATACCCGGAACTGTTGGGGGGGGGAGGGGGTGTTTTGGGGGTAAGGTAGTACTGGAATGAAGGAAATAATATTCAGGGCTTTTCTCCCAGCTGTACGCAGTACCGGCACTATTCAAGGCGATGTTGTTTTTTTCACGCTACTGTGACAGATACTAGATAGTTAGTACCTGCAACTTGTTTAGACTGTGGTGAGTAACGTTTTTTTTTTCCCTGCTTTAAAAAAGCTCTAATAATAATAATACTATAATATAGTGAAGTTTAAAATGATATGAATAAACAAAACTGAAAATATATTCTTATTATGTAGGGGGTGGGTAACTTAGCCCTTTCAAATCTACCCGTTATACCTGCTGGGCTCCGTATCACGCTAAGAGCCATTACTTCTCAGTATAATTCGCGGCATCCATTTGTGTTCTGTCCCATATTTGGACTTGATGACCGTTCAACTCTACAACCAGACGACGGACAGTTGAGCGTGGTCTTTTACGACCGCCCACAACTGCCACGGGTGACCAGTGGTCATCAGTTTATCGCTTAGCATTAGTTTAAGGGCTTAGGTCGTCACCGTCACCGTCACCGCACTAAAACAGTCATCCAGCCGACGTTACAATAGACAGTGTTTGCTGCAGACGGTCAGACCCGCGCTTCAAGATGGCAGTAGTTCTCCAAGTTGTGCTAAAGTTCGTGCCTGTTACGCGCTTCTGGGTTTGTGTTGTTAAGTTGGAGATTGGCTGTAAGTCTTTGGAGGGATCTGCTAGACAGTTCATGCAGAAATGTCAGGCTGCAAGCAAGCTGGACCTTGTCGACCAAAAGGGCAACTGAGATCCGACGAAGGACGATGATTAGGGTCAAGAGTAGCAGGTTTATCAAGGTTATCAGCAGTTTTTACACATTTTACTATATTTGTAGTTGCTTTGCATGTAACTATTATTTACAAAATATTTTCTAACATTTTATATATAAACGGTTTACAGTTTTGCGCACATTGTACAGCTGTATTACACACAACGTGTTTATAACAGTTCTCTTACATTTATACAGGTTGTTTAACAGAATCATGAATCATGTACCACCTGCAACTGTCAATTGACCAATGTTATGTTTGGTCCTCATGACAAAATCTTTCTTAAAATTCACACTTCTCTGACTGGTTTAATTTCACATCAATAATAAACTACTCAGTGTACCCATGTGTTTCACTGAATGTCATATTTTGGATTTTACAAAAATGCACTAGGGCTTATTTTAAATTTTAAATTAAAGTCCATTTAATACTGTTAAGAATTCTACATTTATTCAAATGTAAAGCTTCTTCAGTTGAGTTAAGTTGTCAAGAAGTGACTTCTCAGCACTCGGGGCATTCAGATGTGTGCTCCATCCACATCTTCAGCAGCCAGCGCAGAGTTCCAATGCTAATGGTACCGGTCACAATCTGGGTATATGTCAGGTTTGCCTTCCCTCTGAGTGTAGTGAGCCGGCCAGACCCTCTGGTTACACCCAGCTGTCTCATTCTCCCCAGGCCATAATAATCTTGTTTCTTTACTAATTCCGTTGCTTGTTCCTAAATGGCTTTGACTACACTGCCTTGACATGTATCAATTCACCATCCAATGATGCAGATCCAGCCAATCTGTCAGTCTGTTCATTACACACCACACCGGCATAGCTTCTTCAACATCGGCATAACACTGAATTCTGCCACAATGTGCATTTCCCCTTCCTGCAGAACCATTGGGCCCAGTCTCATGTCTAGCAATGAAGCTGTCCTTAACTGGACGTTCCTTGTCCTTTGCAGCCTGCTCGTTGTGCACTGATCTTAACGAGAGATTCGTTTTAGGGATAGGACTTATATAAAAAGCACTCTGAAAATCGTGCTAGGGCTTTTTCTTTGAGTAGGTATTTTCTGGGAAACAGTTTTATTTTATAGAGTGTGTGCTCTCTTTGTGGGTTTGGAAGGCTCTATATAAAACAACAGACCCACTGCCACTCCTACTTATTGGGCGAGTCCTTCGAAGTCAGAGTACATCTGCTTGAGAGGAAAGGAACCAGCAATCTGAATACAGTTAAGTCAGATCTGTGAAACGGATGTGCATGCAACAATCAGATTCTAGAAGAAGACTAATTCCAGAGGTGGACAAACAACCAGAACTTTCCCCAAAGAGTTTACAGCCAGTGAATGCGAATATAAGTTTTGCTGTTTCCACAATCGAAGTTGGCCGTAATGAATCTACTGTTGTCTTTGGCAATACAGTGCAGACCTGATTTGAACTCATCGAGGACCTAAGAAATGGTTCTTCTTATAATGAATTCCTCTTATCCAGATAAGAATTCAAACAGGCAAAATTGGCGGGGAGACACAATTTTCTTCAACACAGAAGTTCCCCATATCCAAAATCGGCTTAAGCAGTTTGCAATGTGTTATATAGAGACATCCCAGTCTTTTCATTGACATTGTTTCCAGTCTGAACAACTTGAGAAAGGTCTTTCATAGTGGTGTATTTACAAATATGTATTCCTGAACCTTTGGGACAGTCCTAGGTGAACAGTTGATTGCTGAGACCATGCTGCCTGGCCTGCGCAGCCTGAAAGTCGACATGGAAGCCATTGCTGCTGATCATCAGGAAGTGGTTGCTGCCATGATACGAGACTATCAGAACAAGCTAGAAGCCAGGTTTGTTTATGAGATTGTTCTGTTCTCGCCCCTTGCCCCAGCTTCTTCGTCCATGTCATGTTTTATTCTGTTCAAACACCATAGCCAAGCTTCTCCTTCCATGTCATGTTTTGTTGTTACAACCCCATGGCCAAGCTTCTCCTCGTCACGTTTTGTTGTTCCCACCCCATGGCCAAGCTTCTCCTTGTCATGTTTTGTTGTTCCCACCCCATGGCCAAGCTTCTCCTTGAAATTTTTTCATCACATTGCGGACAATATCTCAAAAAGTTATTAACGTATTGAATTCATACTTGGCACACACATAGAAAAGGATCAGTAAAATGAAATGGACTAAAATAACTACAACAGCTTGGATACTTTTTGCATTTTTTCATATATGGTAACCCCAACCCCTAATTTTTTTCGGAAAAAAAAACAGTATGGTATGATATAATGAATATAACTTTTAAACCGTTAGTGTAAATGAATAGTTTTTAGCACAATATAATTAAAATATAATGTTAAATGTATGTGCAAATTTTCATTAAGCCACCTTTATTATTTTCTGAAATATCCTTGCAAATGTTAAGTACAAATTTGGCGATTTTCGGCATAAAACATGACATTTTCAGTTAATATCGGTAAAAATATGTTGATTTTAGCCCCCAAAATTTATTTTCCATCAATCTTTAACTAGTATGTTTCCAACGCAGAGCCAGATTCAGAATTGATGGACACATCGGCAAACTGGCAAAACTTAGAGAAGGAGTTCCCCAGAGCAGTGCTATATCACCAACTCTGATCCTGGTTTACATTAATGATATCACAGCAACCTGCCACCATCACGTTTCTAATACCCTACATGCCGATGACTTTACAGTTTGGACAGCCTCCGAATACACTACCACAGCCTCATATCTGTTACAAAAAACTGTGGAAAATGTAGAAGCCTGGACCGAAAAGTGGGGTCTGAAGCTAAATAAATCAAAAAGCACAGCATCACTTTTCTCTCTCTCCCCAAAAAAAAGAAGAAATTGAAATTTGGATTAAAAACCAGCTCATTCCACAGACTGACACTCCTACCTTTCTGGGCGTTACACTTGATTCGCGACTAACTTGGAAGTCACATGTAGAAGCAGTACAGGGAAAAGCATTCAAGAAGCTTGCAGTTATGAAAAAATTAGCGGGTACCACATGGGGCGCTAACTCTAGAATCCTAAAACAAGTATATACTGGAGCAGTCAGGCCAGTCATGGAATATGCCTCCACTGCATGGGCTGCAGCAGCCAAGACAACAATGGGAAAACTGGACAAGGTTCAGAATATGGGATTAAGGATTGTTCTCGGAGCCATGAAAACCACCCCCATCAGAGAAATAGAAAAGATAGCAGATATTGAACCACTCGAACTCAGAAGACAATACAAAACTCTTTTACAGTATGAGAAATTAAAAAGACTTCAAAGTCACCCACTGCATTTTAAATTTCAAGAGAGAACAAAAAACAGACTGAAGCGTCAGAGCCCCAACCACCTTGCTAGAGAACTGTACAGACAGCACCAAGATCTGCTTGAAAGAGATGTTGCACTGTGCGAAAAACTTAGGCCAGAACCATGGACAAGCAAGCCAGAGAAAGCAAATGTAGTCCTAAAGGTACCAGGAATCACTTCAAAAGATGCCCAGACGGAGACACAACAGAGAACCCTGGCTCTTGCTATGCTTGATGAGAAGTATCCAAACACCACTTGGACTCAGGTTTTCACCGACGGCTCTGCTACAGATGCAGTCAGAAAGGGGGGTTGTGGAATTTACATTAAACCCCTTAGCAGTAGAGCAGAAACTCTCTCTCTACCAGCAGGTGACATCTGCACTAACTTCAGAGCTGAGGCAACTGCCCTCCTCTCTGCAGTCCAACATCTCATCACTCAAGAACACAGAGGGCACCAAATTGTTATACTTAGCGACTCATGTCTGTTCTCCAAGCACTATCCAGCAAAAAACAAGACAAACTAATTGCTGATCTAAGGTCCAACATTGGCTTACTCTCCAAGGAAGCAGAACTGGTCTTGCAGTGGATACCAGCTCACTGTGGTATTCAAGGAAATGAGAGAGCAGATGAGTTGGCAAAAGCTGGGAGTAATCTTCCACAACCTCATCCACCACACAGCTACAAGGAAACCAAAACAGCGCTAAAGCAGTCTTTCAAGCGGGAGTGGAGAAGGCAGAATGGAGATTACAGACCAGAGAGTGACAGCATAAACAAACTCAACAGGAAAGAACAAACATTAATTTTTAGACTTCGGACTGGACACTGTGGTCTTCGAGCACACCTGTACAGGATAGGCATAAAAGAATCTGCTGCCTGTGATTGTGGAGCAGAAAGACAGAAACCTGGGCACATACTGCAGGACTGCCCTAACCTCTCCCAGCAAAGACTTTGGATCTGGCCCAAGGGAGCCACATTGCAAGAGAAGCTATGGGGGACCGGTGGCGACCTTAAACGCACAATCCTATTTGTGACCCAGACGGGACTCAATGTTTAGCATGCCTGATATCGAACGCAGAAGAACTAGTATGTACCTACAGGAAGTATTGTTTCCAACAGATTTAATCAAATTCAATTTGGGGGTTTAACCTGTCCTTAACAAAACAGCTACTGAAAGAGAAGAATTTTATCGGTCACAATCATTTAACCACAGGACTCATCATTTGCATCAATTTTTTTTTTTAGATGTACAGGCTTTCTGTCAACAAATAAAAACATGCCATTGGATAAATATGGCAAATGCGTTTAGTTTGATCTTTTTCACAGTATATTTGATCTTTTTCACAGTATATTTGATCTTTTTCACAGTATATTTGATCTTTTTCACAGTATATTTTATCTTTTTCACAGTATATTTGATCTTTTTCACAGTATATTTGATCTTTTTCACAGTATATTTGATCTTTTTCACAGTATATTTGATCTTTTTCACAGTATATAAACTGAATTCAGTTAATGTACTGTAAAAAGGATCAGACAGGAAAAAAAGGGGTAAATAATGATGGGAGTTATTTGTTTTGAAACATGTTGACAAGGCTTTCAAGTCATCCCTGTAAAACATGTTGATAAGGCTTTCAAGTCATCCCTTTAAAACATGTTGATAAGGCTTTGTTTTTTAAGCAGTTTATTTTCATCCACCAGAACTGTTACTCCAAGTTCCACAGACGACCTCAAGGCCACAGTTATGTCAAAGATCAAGGACACCACATCAAAAGCCAACATAGGCAACATCTTCACCCGAAAAAAGTGAGATTCATCGACACTGATTGATGATTAGCTCAAGTACATCACATCATGCCATCAACACATCACCTTCCATCGTTCCATTGGAATCACATCAATTGGATAACGTGCTCTGAGGTTTGTCCCAACCCACCTGAGGTCAGTGCTGAAGATTACAAGATGGTCACCTCAGTGTACCTGTTTCATGCCAAGAAGACTTGAATGAATGATCACCTTAGTGTACCTGTTTCATGCCAAGAAGACTTGAATGAATGATCACCTTAGTGTACCTGTTTCATGCCAAGATTACAAGATGGTCACCTCAGTGTACCTGTTTCATGCCAAGATTACAAGATGGTCACCTCAGTGTACCTGTTTCATGCCAAGATTACAAGATGGTCACCTCAGTGTACCTGTTTCATGCCAAGATTACAAGATGGTCACCTCAGTGTACCTGTTTCATGCCAAGAAGACTTGGGATGAATGGTCACCTCAGTGTACCTGTTTCATGCCAAGATTACAAGATGGTCACCTCAGTGTACCTGTTTCATGCCAAGATTACAAGATGGTCACCTCAGTGTACCTGTTTCATGCCAAGATTACAAGATGGTCACCTCAGTGTACCTGTTTCATGCCAAGAAGACTTGGGATGAATGGTCACCTCAGTGTACCTGTTTCATGCCAAGAAGTCTTGAATGAATGATCACCTCAGTGTACCTGTTTCATGCCAAGAAGTCTTGAATGAATGATCACCTCAGTGTACCTGTTTCATGCCAAGAAGTCTTGAATGAATGATCACCTCAGTGTACCTGTTTCATGCCAAGAAGACTTGAATGAATGATCACCTCAGTGTACCTGTTTCATGCCAAGGTCTTGAATGAATGATCACCTCAGTGTACCTGTTTCATGCCAAGAAGTCTTGAATGAATGATCACCTCGGTGTACCTGTTTCATGCCAAGAAGACTTGAATAAATGATCACCTTACTGTACCTGTTTCATGCCAAGAAGTCTTGAATGAATGATCACCTCAGTGTACCTGTTTCATGCCAAGAAGTCTTGAATGAATGATCACCTCGGTGTACCTGTTTCATGCCAAGAAGTCTTGAATGAATGATCACCTCAGTGTACCTGTTTCATGCCAAGAAGACTTGAATGAATGATCACCTCAGTTGTTTCATGCCAAGAAGACTTGGAATGAATGATCACCTCAGTGTACCTGTTTCATGCCAAGAAGACTTGGAATGAATGACACCTCAGTGTACCTGTTTCATGCCAAGAAGACTGGAATGAATGACACCTCAGTGTACCTGTTTCATGCCAAGAAGACTTGAATGAATGACACCTCAGTGTACCTGTTTCATGCCAAGAAGACATGATCACCTCAGTTGTTTCATGCCAAGAAGACTTGGAATGAATGATCAGCTCAGTGTACCTGTTTCATGCCAAGAAGAGTTGGAATGTATTCATTCAAGTATCCAGCCCCACACAGATCATCTAATGGAAAAAGTTGTGTTTTTGTGCCTGTATCATTTCAATATCCAGTTTCTTTTAACCTATGCAGAGTAAGATTCTTATTTGAGATTGCTGATGTAATCTGTTGTATCACAGTTGCAAGGAATTGGTGTAGAAACTTGCACAAAACTATTCTGTTAGAGACATGTAGAGTGGTTCTCTATAGAGACATGTAGAGTGGTTCTCTAGACTTGTACTGGAGAGTAGTCATGTGTGGCATGAAACTTGACATTTGTAGACATATTTAGACAATTGAGGTTTCTAGTAGACATATTTAGACAATTGAGGTTTCTACCAAATACTTGTACCATTCTCGTTCCCTAAATTACTAAACACTTCTACCAGAGACCTGTTCCCTCAACTAGTAAACACTTGTACCAGAGACCTGTTCCCTAGACTAGTAAACACTTATACCAGAGACCTGTTCCTTTGAACACTTGTACTAGAGACTTGTGCAGCACTCTTAACTAGAGACATGTAACAGAAACGTCTTTCCCCCACACTTATACCAAAGACAGTAGTTGCACCATATTTAATTCCTCCCCCCCCCCCCCCCCCCCATGTATACACTCCACCGCATTTTTATCTGTTGTGTTGTCCAGTATTGTTAAATAATGATGTAAGTAAGGTTCAGGGATAAATGTCAATGAGTCATGATGATAATGATCTGAGTAGAAAGTAAAGTAAGCCAGTTGATAATGTAACAAAGTTTATTTGATATGTGAAGTCCCGATGTGCCCCAAAACTTGTGATATGTCAAACAACATACATTCCAAAAATGTACATAACTTTAAAAATCTGTTTTGTGTAAATACTTGTTAATGTAAATTTGACCTCTCATAATTTCTTTGGTGCAATGTTAGATGTGTTGTGAATCATTTATTTAGAAAAGGAAATTTTGATTGATTTATAGATTTGTGTTCATATGAGAAGGAAGTCACATCTGTTTATGTTAAAAAGAGTGAGACCTTATATCTCTAGTTGAGATACATATATATGTGTGTGTCAGTGAGGGGAGAGATACATATATATGTGTGTGTCAGTGAGGGGAGAGATACATATATATGTGTGTGTCAGTGAGGGGAGAGAATATATGTGTGTGTCAGTGAGGGAAGAGATAATATATGTGTGTGTCAGTGAGGGGAGAGATACATATATGTGTGTGTCAGTGAGGGGAGAGATACATATATGTGTGTATCAGTGAGGGTAGAGATACATATATGTGTGTGTCAGTGAGGGGAGAGATAATATATGTGTGTATCAGTGAGGGAAGAGAATGTGTGTGTCAGTGAGGGGAATCGTGTGTCATAGTGATAGTATAATATGTGTCAGTGAGGGGAGAGATAATATATGTGTGTCAGTGAGGGGAGAGATAATATATGTGTGGTGTCATACATATATGTGTGTCAGTCAGTGAGGGGAGAGATATGTGTGTGTGTCAGTGAGGGGAGAGA